GCTTTCAACGTTAAGATATTTTTGACACCACAATATATGAAACAAACTTGTGCTCACAAAGTCTTTCAAAGGAAAAAATTGATCTTGAATCTATTTTGATATGTCCTATGATTTCATGCACACGCTAACTTGTTTACAATTGCAAACGTGTATTCGTGGTTTGTATTGTTTTAAGTTCTGTGTAATGTTTTTTACCAAATTATGTCGCTCTTCTATATTATAGACAAAATAGAGAAAGTGTTGCATATATTTAACATGCTTGAGATTGAGATGGTTTCTTTATGTGATGTACCCTTATTATGTTATCTATAATTATACTGAAGCAACATTGCAGTCGACTCCCTTGCTTCTTTCCCATGCCCTTTTTCTAATTATTTTTATTTGCTTGTTTTAAGCTAATTTCAGGACTTGATTTAACAGGTTAGTAGGCACCAAGATTTCCAGGATGGTAGGTGCTTCTATGCAGTTTTTGTTGATGGTGCCAAACAAGATTTTTCCTACCGTAAATGTGTGGAGAACTTCCTCAAGGAAAAGTATCCTGACAAGGTCGAAGCTTTTATTCCCAAGTATTATAGAAGGTAGCAAGCTCATACAGGCTGGAATAAGGATCGTGGTTTTGCCTCAAGTGAAGCTAGAACTCCTGGCTGGAAATAGGATCGTACGCCTGCTCCAGATGAAGCTGGAGCTCCACGCTGGGGCCTAGATCGTACTCCAGCTCCAGAAGAAGCTGGAACTTCGGCTGCAGACTAATCTGGAACTCAAGGCTGGAAAAGAGGCTGTCGAGATGAAGCTGGAACTCCAGGCTGGAACACAGAACATAATCCAGTTGCAAGCTGCAGACAAATTTGAAACTCAAGGCTGGAACAATGGAACAAGGGTCCTACTCAGGCTCCAGATGAAGCTGGAACTCCTAGCTAGCAGTAGGGTGAAAGAAAAGGCAAGTCATTTCAACATATTGGCTGTAAATTCGAATTAGATTTGTGGATGTTTAGTGAATCTCGTAGGTAGGCCTTAATGACATGTTATGTTTTCAACTTGAAAAGTTCCACTAGATGATGGATGGATGGGTGGGCGTGTGACTTCAAATTATTTTTGGTTGAATTTCTACTAGCAATATTTTAATTATTGCTTAGTGTTTCTTTTTGGAGTTCTCTTCCATACTTTGTTGGTGTTGGAAATTTAAGCATATGTTTGGCTAATTAATCATTCATATTTTTTGCAGGACAAAGATCCGAAAGCATTAGACAAACAAATAGATGTAACAAATGATGAGTGGCCAGATCTTATTCAGAAGGCGAAAGATAGAGGTTTGGATGTGATGCAGTTATGTTTTCTGGAATGGGCATGAACCTGAACCTGAACCTGGAAAATATTTTACCTCCATTTTATGAATATCTTTACATTTTTTTCCTTAACTATGCGTAGAGCAGTAAATTTTTCTTCAAGGGTTAAAATACATATTTATTTATGTTTTTTTTCCCAGTATTATTTTTGAGGAAGATATGATCTGGTAAAGTTTATTAAGCTGGTGCAGCAAACATGGCTTTATGTTCATCTCAAAATAGGCCCCTATGCATCTGCTGAATGGAATTTTGGGTAATGTTAGAGAATGAAAATGAAATTTCTCTAGAAATAAATTATAAAAAATACCTTTTTCAGCATAATTTTTGTAGTACCCCGACCTGCATGGGTCGAAACGT